GGGAGTTGAAGTCCAGACGTCTTAAAGCTGCCAAGGTTGAGAAACACTGCACTAAGCCATAAACAAACCACAATGGGAGAAATACATGATATGCTAAGTGGGAACTTTTGAATGCAAAGACTGAGAAGCATGAAGTTTAGAAACAAAAGCAGAAGGCAATTCGATTTTTAAGCTTTTATTTGTTATTATGAAAAGCGAACATGGGTTTCAAGGGGTGGGCCAAAGGGCATTTTCCCCCAGCTCCAGAAAGCCAACAAATGGGTCCATATTCGAGATGATCCAACAAATCCATATTTTTTATTAAATCTGTAAAATTAAAATGTTAAACTATGAGCCCCAGAATTATTTATTTTGCCTTCCCCCACACATTCTCATTTCCTAAACCCAATAATAAAAGAAAAAGAAAAAAGAAAAAAATGACATTGCTATAGGATGCAGCGAAGAGAAAGTGGGAAGGGCTCAGTGAATAATCTATTCTGGGGCTGTTGTGCAACATGGTAAACTGGGCTACAGTGGAGTCGCATAGTATGGGAACAAGAGGGTTGTGAGAACCCAGCCATTGAATCTGCATGCCATGTGAAGCAGACTATCATATTAAGCTAGAATCTGGTTTATTTGTCTGGGCATAGCCTACTATGTGAACACAGCAGCTGTGTTTCATTAGCCTGAGTTTAAAATTTAGGGTGCTATCTACCAATCTACCTAGATTGTACTAGAAGACCTCCAACTTCCCTTCCCCCCATGAATCTGTCTGTCTGTCTATCCATCCATCCATCCATCCATCCATCCATCTATCCATCCAATAAACTATTATCTATCTATCTATCTATCTATCTATCTATCTATCTATCTATCTATCTATCTATCTAGATTTTATCTATCTCTGAACCAGCCAACACACAGCCTACCCAAACTTGCATTCTGTGCTCAGTTTTCTTTCTCTAGATTTCCTCCAGATCTGACACCGTGTTAGCAATGACTGGATCCTCACAAATTAATCTAGTTCCTTTCTTTGGGTATCACTTGCCATGAGAACGCAGCCATCCTGCTTGCTAACCGGGGTTTAGCCTGGAGTGTGGATCCACCTCCTCCATGCCTTAAAAAGACCCTGAAGATGGGATGTTCTTCATGGCGAAGAGTTCTGGAAGTGATGTGGTCCAGGGGAGGAGAGGTTGCCTTGGCAACAACACATCCTTGCGGGCATCTTTACCTGAGCTGTGCTTCTGTCCTCAGTGGAGTGAGATCAGCCAGTTCTATGGAGGATCCAGTTCCTTTGGCCACCTTAGCCTGACTCTGGTGGAACAATCTTTGAGGGAGGAGGAGCTGCGAGCCCGTCACCAGAGTGCCCTCCTCCGGCTGCGTGAAAAGGCCCTCCAGGAGAAGGCCCAGGCTGAGCTGGCTTGGCTGGAACACGGGGAGCGGTGAGGACCCTTTTACCCCACACGGTCCCCCTTTGGGCCTCTCTGCTGCAGAAACCTCTCTTCTGGTTTACCTCCGCCCCAAAGGCTTACATCTCCCTCATGAGATCCTCCTTTACAGCATGGCCATCAGGAGAAGGCAAGGGGTGACATCATGCGCATCATGATGCCAGCACACAAAATGATGTCATGGTCTCCACGATGTCATCATGCCTTCTAAGAAACACTTGTGTTCTGGGGTAAGCAATGTATGCAAAGGGAAGGGGAAGGGGAGGAGGAGGAGGAGCCAGAGAAGTTAAAGGCAGGAAATAAGAGGAAAGGAAAGGAAATGTAGTAAGATCTTGATTTACCAGACCATGGGGAGGGAAAGGATATCCTTTAAATCCAAATGCCCATGTCATTTGCATTATGTTGTAATTTTTTTTCTGCATTCTCCAGTTTTTCTGCATTCTTAAATCTTGGTACCTAAGTACACAATACTGTTGTTAGCCCTGTGGGGTGGTCCAGACAAGGAGGGCAACAAGGAGGACTTGCTCTATCTTTATTGTAAGGTTACATCAACAGTATTGCAAGTCTGAAAGCGTTTCTCCCCTCCTTTCCTTTTACTCTCTGGAAGACTAGGGAGGGTCCCTTCTGAGATGCTTCCCACACCCCTTTTCCTTCTGTGGGCTGAGACACCTTTTCCACGCCGGTTGTCCAGTCTGCGGCTCTTCCTCCTGTCTCCCAAGGCCATTCCCACAGACCATTACAACTTTAAGTGGGTCTCATCCATGCATGACAGGGTGGGACAGCGATTTCCCAGGATTCGGAAAGGATCTGTCTACTGATGCAGCCTAAAATTATGTTTACAGGTTTTTTGCAAGCAGGTTGAGGCTCTGGGTGGAGCTCATGGAGGCTGGAGCTAGAGATAAAAGGAGGTGAAAACAGGGGTAAAAATTAGGATTGCATAGCTCTTTCTGCCTACGTGCATTTTACTCTTTTTCTGTTCCTCCCATTTTTTTATTTGTGGAATGGGAATCAGTGCCAGGACGACCATCTGGAATAAGAACTGACTGGCACTGAGGGCTGCAGGAACTTAAAATCTCAATTTGAAATAGAAGGCAGTGATCGGAGCAAAAGATGACCTTTCTGGGCATTGAGAAGTTTTTATTTATTTATTCTTATTTATTTATTTATTTATTTATTTATTTATTTATTTATTTAT